ACAACATTTCGCAACGAAACTTTGGAATATTACTAATTTTGTGATGCTCTTTCAAGCTGTGATGAAATTTTTGTCTAGATCAAAATTTAGTCTATAATGCAAATGGTCCATTGACCACTGAACATGCTAACTTCATTTAATTAAGGGATCGCCGTCATTACTTATGGCGAGGGGTGGCACCAAAGAGAAAAGGGTTAGTTAAACAAAATTTTGAGTGAGGAAAAGTTTGGGTAAAAGAAAAACAAAACAACTCAAGGGTTGGGTAATAAAAATGTATTGTCATTTCCAAAGCATGACTCACTCAAATATTCCAGACTAAAAAGCAATGTCAACAGCCATATGTCAATACAATGTGTAAATCAATCGGGGTCACTATCTTGATAATTTTCCGATTTGTCAGGAGGCAAATGGTGTTTCCAAAGATAGTAGTATACATGTGCAGACAACATGAAACTTTTGACTGCAGAAAATTGCACAAGCAGTTATCAAACTCATGTCACAGAAATGGTAAAGGACATGTGTGACAATTGAATGGTGCTCTTTTGTAACGTTTTTGGCCAAGTGATATTTGAGGTTGGGTAAAAGAAATGTTTGACTTTTTAAAGGTTGGATCGGCAAAATCAAGAAAAACATTTCTCTTCGGTGCTCCCCCGTCATAAATAATGACCGGCCCTTAAATGTTTTATTGTGCGGAATGTCGCACGGATTTTTTGTTTACTGAAAACCTTCAACAAAATCCACCAGGTGTATTTACTGTGAAAAAAAGCGTACGATGATTTTTTCGAATTCCAATTCCTGTGGAATTTATTTTGAGAGGTTTTTTTTGGCGATTTTAAAGTCCATTTCCTGTATCTTAGCTTCTGTTTATGTTTTATGATATGAGGAATTTTGCAGAGTTTGGATTTCTGGGTCATATGACAATTCTAAGGATTTTAAGAAAAAGAAATTTTCGATCGATGCATTTTGGAAGATATTATTATGATTTATTATTTTTAGGAGGATTTTTCGATTTTTCACACACTCTTCGGCAATCATAATCTCAATGTTAATCCTGGATTACGCTCGATCTAATCCTTGTTAATTTCAGTGAAATATTTATGTAGAGCGCCAGCCTAATGATAATTACTTTAACAAAGTTTGCAGGTTTTTTTGCAGTTGTCCTTCACGTATTGATTGCTTCTACATATGCGCGTCCATCCTGAACATCGGCTGCTTTTATCACTGCAGCTGGGCCCAATTCCACCGCAAAGACGACATGTCTTCTTGCAGTTCTTCTTCACGTAATCATTGCTTGAACAGTATCTCGTCCATCCAGAGCAGCTTTGTAACGTGTCTTGGCAATTACCTGTGTAGAAACGACAGGTCATAACATGACGTTAAGATTACCCAGAGCAACCTATACGAACAGGTTGCATGAATGGCTGATTATAAAAATGAAAAACAATCAAATGAAATTAGAAAATAGATTTTCTGAAGAATAAGTCGCAACATTCAGTGATCCCGTTTGTTCAAAGAAGGCAATCACAAAACTAGTCTGCGAACCCTGCAAACGTCATTTCCCACGCTCATTCTTCGCTTGGAAATCACAAAACATGTTTACAAACTATTATGATAGTAAACTTTATCTGGTGATATCATAAACTGACCATAATCGTTATTATTATATAGTAGAGAGTGAGATACTGAGAAATACACAGTGACATATTTTCCATATCTTCACTAGTGAAAATATCGATCACGTGACTTTTAGTATTTATACAATTTCTTGCTTGGGACTATATAATAAACAGAACATTACACGTTGGCTTGAAGATATGACTTTTATCTTCTCGTGTTAAAAACAATATTTTACTCACTCGCTGCGCTCGTTCGTAAAATATTGTTCTCACCACTCGAAGATAAAAAGTCATATCTTGGCGCCGCCGTGTAATATCCTCTATTTAGCATGCATCGGTCAAAACCTAAACTCGATAGATATACAGGGGCTGCGGAACTGTTGCACTGGGGCAGGTTCCCCCTCCCCCAACTTTTTTAAAAATGGATAAACTGCCCCTTTGACGGTACCCTCCTGCTTACGAAATGCTTCTACGGCCTTTGTAAACAAGCACTTTTCATTTGGCAATTATTAACCATGAATGTATATGGTTGCATCATAAAAACTTCAAAAACTAATTAATAATTCATGAAAAAACCACAAAGAAAAATCATAGATCCATCGTTTTTGAAGCAAAAACTTCAAAAACTTCCTAATAATTCATAAAGAAAACACAAAGATCTTTATATGTATGTGATAGAGATTTCCCTTGATTTACATAAACTTTAACTTTCGGATTTTTTCGACTTACACAAAGTATTTTTTGAAAATTACTTCGCCAATGAACTTAGGGACCAGTCATAAAGTAAAAAAGGGGAGGGTGGGCTGAGAAAAATAGGGGGGTGGGTCACTATTTTTGAGCACGGTTGAAGGGGTGGGTCATCGAAAGTTAACTGCAATCATAAGCAGGGGCGGCGGAACAGATTTCATTTTGGGAGGGGCTAAATTTTTTGGAGGATTAAAATTTTCTTTCGCCACTTTTTTTCGGACATACACCAAAAAATTTTCCCCGACACATACAAAAAAGGCGCTGAAAATATTTTTTCAACAAAAAATATTTCCGGACATACACATTTTTTAAACAAAATATTGCAAATTTTTCCCCTTATACCTAAATTTTCAAAAAATACCCTAAATGTTTCCTTAATTATCAAAATTTTTCCAGAAAAACAAAATTTCTGGGGGGCTAAGCCCCCCACTTTTACTTCTGGGGGGGGGGCTTTACCCCCCCTAGCCCTCCCTGTTCCGCCGCCCCTGATCATAAAGGTGGGCCATGCAAAATATGCAGAATTTTTTCAAGGGCATGTGCATGTATTAAAATACATATTATAAAAATAGAAATAAAATGTATCAGGATCCATGTGTAAAATTCATACCGCAAACGTTAACCCCAAACTTAAAAGCTGAATTTACTGTCTTGGCTAACAGTGGCGGACACTAGGGGGAGCTAGGGGGTTCGAGCCCCCCCCCCCCCCAACAATGTTAAAAGATTGTAAAAATCTTGTACAAAATAACACAAATCACACTCATATAACGTAATTGTCGTCATAATATAATAATACATGTTTCTGTACTGTACATGTCACAACATACGCATTTTATACACTCTTTTTGACAGATACTAGGGGGTCAACTTTTTGCAACAGGCACTTCTTTAAATCTCATTGTCGTTTTTTGTTGTTTCAGTCTTTCAGAAGCTTATACCAATGGTTTAGCAGCGAAATCTCCTGCTGCACAATAATATTTGAATGCGTATTAAACAATGGATAATTCAATTAATATCATCACTTAGCGAATAAACTTTTACATTGTCATTGGCGTGTTAATGAAGTTAAAGCCATTCACAAATGTAAATAATCATGTAAATATTTTCTCTGATATGTTGGTTTTCTATACTTGGCATGTAATTTATAACAAAACGCACCATTAAAACAGTGTTTTGAAAACCTAGTTGTTTACAAAATGTGTTCTCAGAATGCTGCAAAAGCCATTTCCGGGATTCAAATTTTAAAATTTTTCCGTGCCTCCGGTACGAGCCCCCCCCCCCCCAATTTCGTAAAGTGTCCGCCACTGTGGCTAAT